AGGATACCACAATGCCAGAAATGTTACTTTAAAGATTTATATCTACAATATGAAACTAAATTAAGTAACAGTACCTGTATTTTATTGCTGTATTTTATTAGCTAGTACAGGCTGCCATCTATAGCACTGACTGGAACATGGGTGCAATGGGGGCAAATTTTAACTTGGGCCCCCTAAAGAAGACACATCCGTCTTCTTTTTTAGTTTTATTGTTTGCACAGAGACCCAGAAACCAACATATACTGAAGCACTACCTGACCCTGGGTTTTCTGTCTGTCAGTTCATGGTAGTTTGATGAGACATAATTCATTTTTATATTTAATTTTGGTGCATTTCCCCTATGTGATAGTAATAATAGTATATAAGAAGCACCACGTTAGCACAATATAGCAACTAGTTTTGACACAGGGCCACAACATTATGTAACAATATAGTTGTTGCTGTACCTTAGTGGTGCAAAGACAAGGTTGCAAGTAATCAAATTACCAAAAAACAATCAACACATAGGGAACCTGGGGCTTTAGGGGGCCCAGGGGAGTTGCTCACTTAGCCAACCTTCTAATCCCGTCTTGAGTACAGGAGGTCTGATATTCAATTACAGAAATGACCCAATCCATTTTAAATAAAATTCCATGGAGTAACGGTTCAGCTGACACTTCTCAGCGACAGTTATGGGACGTTTTCTTGTCCTCTCACAATATCTGATATGTTGGCTCCACCTTTGCTCAAAGGTGTCTTCGTCATCTTGTGTTACCAGTGCTGTTAACCTCTGTGTGACCGCAGCAGCATCCTTGCACCCCCTTCAGCACCCTATCTTCCCTGCATGGTGTTCTTGGTCGGGAGGGCGTTACTGAGGAGCTAGGGTGCTAACAGGGGGGACGAGGGGAAGGCTGTCCTGCAGTGTCAAAGGTCCTGTCAGGGGCCACCCCTGGCCTATTCAGAAAGACGTCACCCAGCACATTCTTCACAATGTTAACATTCTCCCAAATTCTCAACATTTACTTACAATGGATGACTGCGCTCAGCCCAGCTATTATGTGCAAAGTCAAATCTGAACGGCCAACTTATGGTAAGTCATCTTGTCAATATAATCATGACATGGCCCCTCGTTGCACCCTCATAATCCCATATAGACTGTCTATTACGGCTCAGTTTAGCTGTCAATCACAGCATGTAATCTGGCAAGGAGTCGGTGAGGGATTGAGACTTCTGTGAAGGATTTATAAGCAGGCAGGTGTTATATCTGTTATTTTGGTATACATGAGTTCTATCTGTGAGACTCAGATGCTGTCTTCGGTGCAAGAGAGTTTTCAGGGTCTTGGCCACAGGTGTTTTTTTTGCATGTTTGTCCACTTCTGTGACGGTATGTTTGTGTGTGAGAGAAAAGTAGAATCAAACAGAGAGAATGTGCTGTGGTTGCTTTGTGCTGGTGGTTTAAGGAGCCTGGGAGCAGAGTCGGGGGTCTTGTTATAAATTAGCGTCTGACCCCTGTCTTTGTGTGGCCCCTAGGAAGGCCTGACGAAGGCCCCAGCCCAAACCTCAGTGAGAACGGCCCTTGTGAAGAGTCTCTTTCAGGGGTGTCACTGCGCGATGAATTGGCCAGGAGAAGCATGTTTATAGACTGTGTAAAGGAGTGCGTCTTTGTGGGAGAATGTCACTGACACTGTTACAGTTTGCCTGAATGAACTGTGATGACGAGGCTAATAGGGCCCCCACCGAGGGTGAGGGTCAGCGAATGTGGGGGGCCCCCCAAGCTCGGGACCCCCCACCCTCAGGCCCCTTTCACGCCCAGTAGCTGTAGCTAATGTTGCAATTCTTCGTTCCCCTCCACAAAGGCCAAGGAAAAAAGTCAACTTTCACACCATCGGGTCACCATGAGTGCTTTAGGAAATGATCGTGTAAACAGAGTGTTACCTTCTGACCTGTGGCTGATACCTTGGAGCAGCAGACAAAACAGCCAGGCTGCGGGTATTAGACATGGCTGTTAGCGAGATAAAGCTACAGGACACAGAGGAGGAAGACCTCCAGGCTCTGGAGAAACACATACATTCATCTTATCTTTTTTATATCCATGTTTTTTCATTGTCTGATCTGCACATGCACAGACTACTGACCAAAACTCAGTTTCATTTACTTTTGCTTGTATTCTTCACTCACAACAGCAGATGTGGTAAATTCTCCATTAGCTCAAGGAATACACGAGTTCCCACGCCTATAACAACTGCACTGACGCCTGTGTACAGCCGTTTTACTGCCCTCTATTCAAGCCAATAGGATAAACTGGCCACTAACCCTGTTTGAATAGAGCTGAGTCTCTTAGCACCAGGATGTAAGGTCATTAATGACATCAGTGCCAGTTTGAGTGTATAAATGAGCTACTGCACACACATACACCAAAATCTGTATAACTGTTAGCATGGGATTACTACAGTTTTAGTATTTAGCTCAGAATCTTGCCCATAGTGATATTCAGTGAGCGGTGCACACAGACGCTGTGTCCAGAGGCTGATGGAAGTTAAAGCAAAACTTTTGTTTATCAGAATTCTATCTTGAGAAAGGTTTTTGACAAATACGACAAGGTCAATTATATTTCAACGTCCGTGCAGTTGTTGGGTCTGCGAGGGTATTTGTGACATACATATTTCATCAGCTGCTCATGTCTGCAAGCGTCCATACACACACCTACAAGATGTACCTGTCTGGAGTCAATCAAGGCACATAAATATATTTCTCTTGCATACCAACCCAAGCATCTCATTATTTCTGTTTGGCCCCACTTAAAATAATGTTTGATGCTACTGCCATCAAACTAAAGGCCTTATGTGTGAGTAGAGCTGAAACAATAAGTCAGTAAATCAATTAGTTGATCTGCAGAAAAACAAAAATGATTCACTGGTTCCAGATCCTCAAATGTGATGTTTTGCTGCTTTTCTTTTTCTATAACAGTAACATTTGGACTTAACTATCTTTGGACCACTGGTTGAACAAACAAGTGATTCGAAGATGTCAAATTGCAATCTGGAATGTATTAAAATCTTCTGATATTTAGACTGTTCATTGATGATTGATACTAGAGACAATAACTGCTATTAGCGTCTCAAATTGCTCCTACGATCCAAATCATTCAAATAATGGATAAAAATGGTCGCTCTCATTTTGAAGAGTTACTCCTGCTAAGCTGCAGGAGAGAATGAAGCACATGTCCACCATAAAGATGGAACAGCCTTGCAAATTAATTATTGCATCAATCATAACCATGAAACATTTTGGTTATTGGATATTTTAGAGATTAAACTTTATCCCATATTTCTATTGACCCCTCTTGAAAATCCTATTGGTTAGGAAGATGATCTAGTTTAATATAATGGGATGTCAAAGTTACATACTCTCTATTTAATATAATAGCTGTGTTCCCCGCCTCCTTACTCCAGTCACCTTCGCCTCCCTGCCATTCCCTGTCTCCGCCTCATAGAGAAGAAGTGGCCATGCTTTACGACAGCCGCCCAGAGCTGAGACCCACCACTAAGAAGAGGCTCCTTCTCTCTTTACGGCCCCATAAATATATTGTTATCTAGGCCTGGGAAGTCCACGGTGAGATTTATCCACACGGTTAGTGGAGATAGCGAGCCAAGCATCCTGAATCATTAATTACACAAGAGGCTGCGCTGCGTCCACCTTAATTTCCTATCTGGGCTCTGTAGAGAGCCACTTTTAAGTAGGTGATGAGGCATAGGAGTTAATTATATGTCGCTTAGGTGCGTTCTTTTTTTTTTTTTTTTTTTTAAAGTACTGGGATGCTGGCGCTATGGTGAGGTTCTGGAGATTTGGAAGCAGTCCATGATAAAGAGGATCTATACTCTATGAATCCTCTGACGTTATATTCTCTGGTTTAAAAAGGCAATGCATGCAGTGCATTAAAAACATTTGCAAGACAAGAGACCATAAATAAAATGTGTCGGATTAAATACCCTTAGGAGGCACCAAAAAAGCACAACCAAGAGACTTTAGTTCCACTCTGAAGCAGTCAAGATGTACAAGTCTGTCTCTGACTCTCAGTTTAAACCCATAAGCCCACGAACAAATCTACAGAGTCAGTTGATCTTATCTTCCTCTGAGGCAGCTGCCACCATGTCACTGCTGGGTGCAGGACCAACACAAAGAATATCTTGAGCATTCATCTCTCTGGGGTTGGGGCTGGTTCACTCTCCCTTTGATCAATTCAGTAAAGTGAATTTTCTTTGCCATCAAAGCAGATTATCAAAGGAAATTATCAAGATTTATTAATTTAATTGTGGTGTCAGCTGAGAATTAACTGATCTGAAAGCATGTTTACTTGAACCCCTAGCATGCATTCGGAAACATGAAGAGCAGACAAGTCCCAGAAGATGAACATAAATTGGTGCAGGGATTACATGTCCTCTGAGTTGTTTCAAGCTCTCATTCATTTGTTTTTGTGTGAATAGTGAAAACCACAAACATGTTGAAATATATGACTTAGATATGCATAAATTGTGGTGTCCAGCAGGCGAATATAGTAATATTATAATGACATAGTTGGGACATACCATTTTTCCAGATTTTTTTAAGATTACAAGCTGTTTAAACATCCTCCTCACCTATAAATCCCCCTGTCTTCTTGAAAATGTGCATTTAACATTCCATGTTTGTATCATTTTCTCTATTTGTATCTACAAAAAGTCCCTGCCCTGCTCTGTAAAGGTGAAAATGTTCTAATCAAGTGTCTCAGACCACCAGGTGGTGCTGTGGCCCTCATGAACTAAATACCCTGAGGTCAGGGGAATCATCAAATGACAGCTTGAAAAGCCAAGTCAAAGACTAATGATAATGTTGGTCAAGACATTCAGGATGTTTAGTGTTATTTAAAATGTATGTTTAGAACTTGAGGTTATTATGAATCATTAGTTTGAGCTGCCAGATCTGCCAGCACCCGTCACATGTTTAAAACATCTCCACTGACAAATGCTTGTGATGTTTTCCAGGATCACGGACCAGCGGTTTGAGAGGTTGCCATATTTCGTCTTTGGGGACTTTAACTTCAGGTTGGACTCGAAGCAGGTTATTGAGGTGAGTGTTTTTGTATTACACCTGACAAATTAGTGATGGAAGACTAATTGTGAAGATTATCTGGCCGAAATTTGTATGCCAATATACTATAAAGACGTGGTTAAGTACTATCAAACTCATGGTAATATAAAATGTGTGTGTGCCTGCGTTTGTGTGTATTAGAGAGAGACTGCAATATAGTAAAAGTGGTTTTAGTAGCCCACTGTCTCTTTAGAGTTATGACTCATTAAACGCTTCACTGTTGCTGGCCCAGCTGTGTTTGCCAACTGAGCCTCCAAGTGCATTGTTATGTTATGGTGCCATTCACTGCTCTTTCTCTCTCCCTTCCTCTCCTGCTCCCTCCCTCCCCTCTTTCTTCCTCCTCCTCCCCTCCTTTTCTTGGTGCAAATGAGGCCAGTGAGAGCCAAGGTAGCGCAGTCATTCAGCATTCTCCATGAGGAGATGGGGGGGCTTAGTGGCATAACAAGTCATAAAGGCCCATCGCAGACAGTGGTGTCCTATGATAACAGAGTGGGAGAGCCACTTGTTGGCCGATCTTCTCCCTCCTCTCCAGCACAATGGCCCTCGAATCAGTGGGCCTGTTCAAGGTGTGGGTATTGTTCATTCCAAGCAGAACCCCATTCAGGGGAGAAGGGAAGAGGAGGAAAGGCTTTCTGAATGGAGGTTTTTTTTTTGCTCAAATGACTTAGGAAGGACTTTACTCTGTGTGGCACACAAGAAGAAACCTTTTGTAGTTTAGTCATCCAGCCACTAGGGGAGCACTAAATCACCGTCCCCTCTAGAGTGGCCAGCTAAGTGGGATCAGCAATCTATCAGGGGCATTGATTGATTTGATTGCCTTAAAGTTTGTGCAGTACATTTGATTTTGGATCTGTAATTGGGTCACATTAACTGCCTGATCATGTGCAGATGCGTTGCTTTGGAGATAATAAATCCACAGACAGCATCCACAACAGCAGATGTGCAAACACTGAGGCTATTCAGAAGGCAACTTGCAATTAAATGTCACCTGACACACATTTAGTTCGCCACAGTCATTGTATATCGATGATAGGCTGTTTTATATCTTATCAGCATTGCTGCGATAAAAGACGGTGTGTTCCACAAATTAACTGTGGTTTTATAAGAAGGTTGTGTATTCGATGCCAATACGGGCAGGCAACATCATCTCACCTGACTTTGTTTGA